AATAGTTCCTGCCTTCAAGGAGCTTACATTCTAATGAGGGAGACCACACGCAAATGACTATATTTACACAAATACATATATCTACACACAGTATATAATACACACACATAAAAGACATGGAGGCAATCCCAAAGGGAAGACATGAGCATTAAGAGGAACCAGGAAAGGTAATAAGCATACCAAGACCAAGGTTTGATCTCTAGTCCTTAAACCCTGAATCCATGGCTCTCTCTACGGCACCATTCTGGTTATCCAACTCTGGACTCCTTATCCTCAGGGAGACTCATGACGAACATTTGAAGATTTCATATGGGTCAGCTAAGTGGCACAGTGGATAGAGCTCTGGCCTTGGAGTCCGGAGGATCTGAGTTCAAATCCAGCCTCAGACACTTGACACTAACTAGCTGTGTGACCCTGGGCAAGCCACTTGACCCCAACTGCCTCACAAAAAAAAAAAGTTCTCAGGAATCTCCTTCCTCCCTTGAGGCCTGGGTGACAGAGAAGCCAATGAATTCCAAATCACTTGGAAGAGGTCCATTGAGTAGGTGTACTTGGGACATCAAAAAGGCTACAAAGTTGGCAGTCATGTCCAAACAGGGCCCTCATCCCAAAATGGTTCTGTCCTTACCCATGTTGGCCAAAGACAGAAAGGTGAGACTGACAGTTCTGAAGAGGAAGACCTTATCAATCTACTTATCTTAGTGGAAAGAATGCTGGGCTTGGAGGCAGAGGCCCTTGGTTTAAATCCTGGCTCTGCCATGATTTGCCTGTGTGATCTTGGGTGAGTTACCTTCCCTTTCTAGGCCTCAGTTTCTTCATCTCTCAAATGAGGAGGTTGGACTAGATGACCTCAAAGGCCCCTTCCAGCTCTAAAGTCATGACCCCTTGACCCTTTGCTTATTCTTGACCTCTAGATTTAAGCCTATGAACATGCCTGCTCAGGGATCCCTCTCATCTGACCCCATCTCAAAGAGGTGATTGACCTGCCCAAGGGCATATGGCTAGTAATAGAAGTTCAGAGACTGAATTCTGTTACACCTTGGTTTAACTAAGCTTGACTTCTGATTTATTTTACTTCATTAGAATGTAAGCTCTGCACTAGTAGGGACAGTTTCATTTATTGTACTTGAGTACTCATTGCCTAGCATAGAGCCAGACATATAGTAGGAGCTTAATGAATGCTTGTTGATTGATTCTCTGATTGCTGGTGCCTCCTTTCCCCAGCAGGTTCCTCCCTTGAACCCTAGTCATTGGTTTTAATCATTGGTCTTCAAATGATCCCATCCCCATTAGGTGCTGGTGGACAGCAGCTCAGAATCACAGAAACTGAGAGTTGGAAGGGAACCAGTGGCCATCTAGTCTACTAGGGATGGCCAAACTCATGCTAACTCTTCCCCACTCTGAATCTCATCTATCCAATGGGAGAATGGGAATGTGTTCCTTTTTGCTAAAAGATAAATCTGAGCAGGTGAAGAAGGTGGCCAGGATGACGAGAGAATGGAAACACGCTATTCAAGGGTTGATTGAAGCAAACGGGGATTGTTAGCCCAGAGAAAAGGTTTAGCTGAAACACAACAGCTGCCTTCAAGTATCCAAAGGACTGTGATATGGAAGAGACATTCATCTTGTTCTTTTTGACTCCAGAGGGTAGACCCGGGAGTGATGGATAGAAGCCTCAGAAAATTTCAGCCCAATTGAAGGAAAGACTTCCTAACATCCAATACTGTTCCAAAGTGGAGGGAGCTGCCTTGGAAGGTGAGTTTCCCATCACTAGAGCTGTTCAAGTGAAGACCTTATGGCCACTTGTCAAGGCGATTATAGAGGAGAATTCTGCTCATGGAAAGATTGAACTAAGTGCTTTCTGGGCTTCCTGCTAGAGCTGACATTTTGTGACTTCATCCTCAACAGCCAAAGGTATAATAAGGTATCCAACTGCGTCATTATCTCACCATCCCAGTGGAGGATGAATGCAGCAAGCCCATCTTATGGCTGGGTAGGTCACAGGATTTCAAGATGGCTTGTCACTTTGGTCACCATCAAGGCAGCCTCCTTGTAGCAGAGACAGGATTCAAACCTGTGTCCATTGCTCGAAATCCTCTCTTGCCATCTCACCATCCTCCCCTGTAGGAGGTGCAGAAATCTTGATGCCCCCTCTTTGTTGTCTTAGGGACAATGGAGGGCCTGAGTGGTGGATGGATGCCTTTGACAGGAGAGCTTTCCCCTAACTTGGGAGACTTCCGGAGGTGCTACTGACAGGCTTAGCTGGAGGCTCCAGCAACAGTTACTTCAGTGGTTTAGCATAAATCCATTAACCCCACCCCACCCCCAAGTACCTCCTGCTGCTAGAATGTAAGCCATTGTCTTCTCAAGGACCTAGGCCTGTTTCATCTTTGGGTCCAAGAATTCATCAGTCTCTCCAGAGTATGGGACAGGTGGCCCCAGGAACTCTTAAAGCTGATTCTTATTAGCAGCACTTAATTTAGGGCTTCTCACCACCAAGTGGAAAACCACCTGTTTCCCCTCCAGACCCTGGCTGCAGGGTCTTGCCCCACTTGACCTTGACCCTCTAATGGCGAACAAAGGTGCCTTTTGTCTATACACACAAACACACACACACACAAAACCACCCTTGTCGCCCTAGCCATCATCTCTAGGCCAAGATTGCTGCTCTCTGGGGTCCATATTCTAACAGGAAGTCTGAAGATGAGAAGGGACCTTTTTGTCCTCCTGTTGGAGTTGACTTAATGGAAGTGATAATGAGAGGGAGCCATAGAAGAGAGGAAAGAATGTTATATTTGGAACAGGGGAACTTGAGTTCATTTCCTGCCTTGGATGCTTTTAATCTTATCTTTAGGCAAGCCCCTGCCTCTCTCTTGCCTCATTTTCCTCCTCTGTAAAATGGTCATGAGACAGGCAGGCTTGGGCCAGAGACAGGAGGCCACTGGTGCTAGGCTGGGCATAAGACTTATAATGAATCCTCTTCCCAATGCAAATGCTGCTTAGGGAGCAGGAGGAGGGAAGATTTATTATTATTATTATTATTAATTTATTTATTTTTAGTTTTCACTATTCACTTCCACAAGATTTTGAGTTCCAAACTTTCTCCCCACCTCGTCCCTCTCCCCACCCCAAGATGGCATGCATTCTGAATACCCCTTCCCCTAATCTGCCCTCCCTTCTATCTCCGCCCCCTTCTCTTATCCCCTTCCCCTTCTATTTTCCTGTAGGGCAGTATAGATTTCTATACCCCATTGCCTGTATATCTTATTTCCCAGTTGCATGTGAAAACAATTTTTAACACGTGTTTTTAAAACTTTGGCTTCCAAATTTCCCCCCTCCCCACCTGCCCTCATTGGGAAGGCAAGCAACTGGAAGATTCTTAAGAGGAAGAGCCTTCCCAGGGGGTCAAGTGAGAAATGTAATATGTGGCATATGCAAAAGCTAGCTTTCATCATGACCAGGTAAAATCATCAGTATGGTATAAAGAAAAGAATATTGCAAGCCTTAGGTTAGAATCCCAGCTCTGCTGCTGCTAATAATAATAATTACTATTATACTATTATATTATACACAGTTCTTTAAGGTTTTCAAAGCGCTTCCTATACATTATCTCCTTTGATCTTTAAAGCAGCTATCTCCATTTTACAGATGAGGAAACTGAGGCACAGAGAAATCACGTGATTGTCCAGGGTCACACAGCTAACGAGTGTTCGGGCACACTGAACTCAAATCTTCTTGACTCTAAGTCCAGTACAGTACTGACTAGACTAGACTAGAATCTAGTTACTACCTTATCTGGAAGCCTCCTGTGTAATAACCGCTAGCATTTATATGACACTTTAAGGTTTGCAAAATGGTTTACAAATATCTCATTTTATCCTCTCAATAATACTGGGAAGTAGGTGCTATTATTATCCCCATTTTGCAGATGAGTAAACTGAGGCTTTGTAGTTTTTGCCAGTTTCCAAGGTATAAATGCTCATGCTGAAAATTTAACAACCAGCTTTCATGAGCTGGTTTGAGCTGGTTACAGTATACCCCTGTTTCCAGACTGAACATTCCATGTTCACAAGTTCCTAGGAACAGCAGCATTCAATGTTCTATATTCCATGGGCTCTTCCAAATCTACGTAAAACCCATGGTTACAGCTTGGTTTGTGAACACCAATCTGTAACATTCATTTATTCAGCCAATAAATGTTTATAAAGGCACTGTGGGAAGCATTGGGGATTCAAAAAGAGGCAAAAGACAGCCCCTGCCCTCAAGGAGCTTACAATCTAGTGGGAGAGACACCATGCACACAAATAAATACAAAGCAAGCATATACAGGATGAATAGGAAATGATTAAGAGAGAAGGCACTGGAGTGAGGAGGTTTTGGGAAATCCTGCTGCTTTAATACTGTGCCTGAGTCTAGCAGGAAGTTCCTGCCCTTGCTTCTGTTCCTAAGGAAACTTCATTCGAAGGATCAGGATGGAAGCTTCTTGCCTTGTTATGGAGCAGAGGCCATCCTAAACCAGACCCAGAGTACGGGCAGTCACATACCTTAGAGAGGAGACTGCTTAGATTTAGGCCTGAACTGTGCGCTCTGGGAGCCAGCCCCATGGGCCATGGCTCCTGAAAGGTTGAATGCCTTGTGATGCATCAGAGACCGAGGTGGGCCCATGGCGAGGTTGGAGTTCGGCCTGCCATAAGCAGGGTTGGCTGTGCCTTCTTCCTCTTTGCCACTAACAGTAGCTCTGTGACTGAAAGGCCCAGCCTGGCAAAGCCTCCCAAACCCTTGCACGAGCTATAATTTGGTTATATTTAGTCAGACCCCATTTTTTGGACAACATCATCAATCTGGCCCCATCTACTAAGCCACATCACATGTTGTGGCTGCCCTGCCCAGAGGGAGCTTGGCAACTGGGCTCTCTCTTCTGCCCTCCTCTCCCCAAGTCTTATTCAGTAGTTCACCCACAGCCCTAACCACACTCCAAAAAAGAAGAGGAAGCAACTTACCGGGGGACCACGAGGACCAATAATAGACATTCCAGCATCTCCTGGGGCTCCCTGTGAAGGCATGGAGAGAAAGAGAAACGAAGAGAGGCAGAGGGAAAGATGGAGAGAGACAGAGACAGAGATAGAGACATAAAGAAAGATCCAGATAGAGACAACAGGAAAGAAAAACAGAGACACAGAGACAGAGGCAGAAAGTGAAGAGATAGAAAGGAAGGTTCACAGAGAAGATTGAAAGAATGATAGAGAAAGAAAGAAGAGAAAAGAGAAACAGAGAAGAAGAGGAAGAATTGATAGAGAAAGAGACAAGAACAGATAGGAGAAATGGAAGAGTAAAAGGAAGAGGACTGGAAAGTGAGGAAAGAGGAGAAGGAAAGTGATGAGATGGAAAGACAAAGGGAAATGCCAGAAAGGAATGTTGGAGAAATAGGGGGAAGGGTGAGAAAAGAGGAAGAAAGGGCATATAGCAAGAAAGGAAGAGAGGAAAAGCAGAAGAAACAATGGGTAAGTGAGGCATGAGAGGTAAGAAGATCCCTAACCAAGATTAAACCCAGGGAAAGTGACAGGAACCATAAGCCTGGAGCCAGAGCAGAGAAAGGAGGTGGGTCCCAGTGATTCAATAAGAGAAAGGAATAATGGGAAGGCCAAGGTGCCCATGGGCTCTGGTGTCTGCCCCAGTAATTTTATCACTTTGGCCTGCCTCAAGGGTCTAGAGCTGGGAGGTCATGTAGTTCAATACCCTCATTTTACAGATGAAGAAACTGAGGTCCATAGAGGACAAGGGACTTGCCCAAGGTCACACAGGTAATAAATATCAGAGATGAGATTTGAATCCAGGTCCTCTGAGTGCAAAGCCAGGGTTCTTTCCACTATATTGGGGTGTCTCCTGATGTGATGTTTTCTCAAGACCCCACAAAGTGCAGCCCCACGCTAACTCTGCTATAATTTCTACTATGAAGAAAAGCCAACTTGGTTCTATCTCCAGATATGCAAGCCCCATGACTCAGAGATGAAGTCATCCCTTGAGGACTTCAAGGTTAGAAGGCAGCCTTCACAAAGTCATGGGTGAAGCTTCAAGGAGATCGCTTATGGATCAGTGCCTTTTGGGGTTTAGTTTGAGGACACATTTCCACTAAAATCTGTTCCAATGTGTCACTGTGGTGGGTACGTAGGTGACCTTGGGTCCCACTAAAGCTAAAAGGTTTCAAGTACAGATGTGAAGAATGACTCAGTCTGCTGCTGGAAGACCAACCTCATTCCCTTCAAAAACACTCATCAATCAAGAAGCATTAATTAAGCGCTTAGTGTTTACCAGATCCTATTGGAAGGACCAACATTTGAAGGCCGACCACCATGTCCTAAAAAGACTCTGATGTGTATAAGGAGACAAATACCCATGCTAACAAAAACACAGAGCCCTGAACATTGAAAGAAGTGGGAGGTGACTGCTGAGAAATACCCTCAAATGAGGTAAGGGGAGAGATCCCAAGTGCCTACGTTTTTAGTATTTTGCGGTCAAGAAAACTAGCCCCCCAAAAGGAGATGATGAAACAGTAGGTGGGCAGCATTAAAATATGCTTCCTGGGATACCTTCAGACCAAACATGGAGAGACCCCATGGACCACATCTAGGCAGCCCTGGCCAATTTTTCCAGCTCGAGGAGTGTTGTTAGTACTTCTCAGAAAGTCCACTCCATCCAAAGGATCGTAAGTCTAGGGCTGGAAGGGACCTCTGTCAGATGCCATCTAGTTCAATGCTCCTATTATACAGTGACACCTAAGGTTCCATCGGTGGTATCTGAGGCAGTTTTTGAGGCCAAGCCACATGACTACACCTAGTGCTCCTTCTTTCAACTGAGCTCAGGTTCAATAAAACAATGTACAGAGGCATTGCGGAAGGGTGAGCCTGGTAAGGTATTATGGGACTAACCCCAGAATAGGTCTGGCCAGCTTCCTGGAAGGGGAGGTGCGGGGATCTGGTGAGGTTTGCTCTTGTCCTGCTCCTGTAACCTTTTCAGGGCAGGTAGTCTTCATTTTGGCCTTCATGTTCCTAGAAACTAGCACAGTGCCTGGCACACAGTAAGAACTTAATAAATGCTTGCTTGATTGAGGGCAAAATGGACACTGAAGACAATCTGATCCCAAGAAAGCCTGGATTTTCTTTTCTTGTTTCTTCATCATACAAGTGTGTGCGGTGGGGGGTGGGCAGTAGAGGCAGTCCATTGACAGTCTATTAATCAGTCATCTATAAATTGAGGGTGCTAAACTAGATGACCCCTAAGGTCACCTTTTACAAATTCTGGACCCTTGAGGGACTGATTCTTTGAGCAATCTCCTAAATGACAACACCCATTTCCATGCAACAAACCTCTCAAAGGTCATCCTAGCTGAGGATTCCAAAGCACAGAGGATGGCTGGTTGAGCCAACCCATTTCACAAGATTCTCAGACCAAGGGGCACTACAGTCTGAGGTGATGGCTTTCTCCCCATACTAAGCTGAAATCCTCTTGAAAATACTAGGGATAATGAATAAGGAAAAACAGACTTCACTGCCTTCCTCTCCCCAGTTTCTCACAAGCCAGTTCAGATCTGGTCCAGTCCTGGAGTGAAGGTAGGATTAGGGGGGTTCTCACCTTTCTGTACTTGATCTTGGGGAATCTGGGTTACTCATAATATCACAAGATTTAGAGCTGAAGGAGACCTTAGAGATCATGGCACCATAGATGGAGAGCTGAGAGAGACTTTAAGAGTCAGACAGCCCAACTCCTTCCTTTTTACCAGTGAGCAAACTGAGGCCCAGATAGATTATGTGACTTGTCCATACTTGCAAGAATAGGAAGGAGCCAAATCCAGGGCTCTTTTTGCCACACCAAACTTCCTGGGGCTCCCTCCATAGGGCTTAAGTATAAAGTGAGTTGAGAGCCCACTCTAGGAGAGTGTGGACTATTGGGTGCTTGGGTCCAAGGTGATCTAGAACAGTTCCAAACCCATATTCTGGGACTAAGCTGGGTTGGAGGCAGTAGCAAGACTGGGACTGGGAGAAGGGAAGGGAGAAGCACCAGGGTGGATGGGATTTAGCACAGGCCACAGAACAGGGATGTTAGAGGTCATCCTAGCTGATGTTTTCTGACCCACACCAAATGGTGACCTACAAAATATCTAAATTCTGTGTCTCGCTGTTCTGCTCTCCATGAGGGAGCCTAGAGACAGAGAAGAGACCAGAGCTGGGAGGAGAAGACACAGGATGTGGGGAAAGAATCAATTTTTAAAAAAGGTCATAGGGCTTTAAGAAGTTTGTCTCTAGAAGTCATCTTTCTACTTCAATGTGGTCATTTTAGTTTCTCAATGTCCAAATCACTGCCCCTTTCCCCAAGGAAAGCTTATCTCTTAAGAGAGTCAGCTGAAGGCTCTGGATTTCTTAGTCTCAATATCATCAGCAAGACCATCCTGCCCCCGCGCCCCAGGGAAATGATAACCTGGATGTACAAAATGGGGCGGCGCAGGAGCAGATGCCCCAACCCTCCTTGCTCTGGGAACAAAGTGTCTGCCTTGTCCAAGGAATCCAATGAGGAGGGTTTGGCAGTCAGGGATCTGTGCCCAAGTGCCCACATGGCCAGTTGTGGCATAGATGGGAAAGGGGAGAAAGGGGGTGGGTAGGAGAAGGAGGAGGAAGCTAGTGTTATCAGGAGAGCCAGAAAGACCAGCCCTCGTTTCCTGACCCAGTCTGGAGAACAATATTAGTAGTGGGATGAATGAAATCAAAACAACCAGGCTGGGAGATTGGAGGCGGGTGGAATGATTTGGCCTGACTGCTGGGGTCAGAGGGCATGTAGAGAGCAGATGTGATGATCTGGCTCACACAATGAGCACAGTTTAAAGGCAATAAATTGTACAGTGTTCTAGTTCTAAAATCTGTGATTCTATGAACCCTGGGAAAATCTGGCATGTCAGGCTAAAAGTTGGTTGAGGTCTTAAAAATAGAAAACGTCCATGAGCTGAGCAATCCTCTCTGGGTCCCAAGGTCCAAACCAGCTGCATCTCTGACAACATCTTCTGAGCCCTTCCCTGCTCTCTTCCTAGTTCTTGCGCCAGAGGTCACAGGACCTAGAAAGGTCCAGTGGTCGCTGGACCTTGACATCCGGGTCATCATAGCTAGATACTTCAAGAGAAGCATTGCATGCAGAACCCAAAGCTGAAAACTCCTCCATCCAGCTGTCTTCTTTAACTTCTGATTGCTTCTCATTTTTTTCAACATGATTGATTGACAGAGATCGGCATGAAAACCACAGTTTTCATGGAACCAGTCATTGAATCAGCCTCAGAACTAGAAACGGCCTCTGGGTTCCAACCATAGGAGATCAAGAATCCCTTCTATGCCATCCCCCCTGCCCCTCCCCGACAAAGGGGGCTATTTAAGCCTTGTTGAAGGCCTTAGTCAATGGAACTGACTTATCCCTCATTACAGTTCACTCTGCTTTTGGAGATACCCTAAAGCTAAATCTGCTTCTTTGCAGCTTGTAGGCCATAGGACCCAGGAGACTCAGGATCAAATCCCATCTCTGCTGTGCTCTACTTATAGAATCTTCCACAAGTTGTTTCCCGGTCTGGGCCTCAGTTTCACTCTATAAAATGAGGGGGCTGGACCCAGTGGCCTCTAAGGTCTTATGTGTGAATCTTTTCCTTAGTCTTTCCTAAGAGTCCTTGGGGCAGTGGGAGGGCAGAAGGGCCCAGCAGAGGAGTAGGGGTACAATCAGGAAAGAACAGACTCACCTTCTCTCCTGGTTGGCCCTTGAGTCCCTGGGGTCAGTTACACCAGCCACATGTAAAACAAGATGAAGGGGAGGTGGAGGGAGGACACACAAGGGGAGAGGAAGGAGGATGGGGAGAAAAGAGAGAGACAAATGGAGAAATCAATCTCGATGGCACACTGACCCCCGTGGCATGCCCCATCCCCAGCCATGACAAAAGAAACAAGGCAGCTGCTGGGGTGGGCTGGGTTCTGTGTTCAAACAAGCACACATCAGTACGTGGAGGGGTGAAGGCGCACTCCTCAGCCTGCCGGCCATGAACTCCTCAGGCCACTTGCACTGGGGTGTAAGAAAAGAATATAAGACTGAAGGGTAGGAAATCTGGCTTTAAATCCTGGCTTGGATGCTCACCCAGGGGCTGTATGACCCTGGCTAAGTAATTGCACCTCTCAGCCTCAGTTTCCTCATCTGTAATATGGGGATAATAATGCTTGCATGACCTACCTCAAGGGGTGGTCATGAGGAATGAATTTTCAAAGTGCTTTGGAAATGGGAGCCATCATTGTCGCTAATTATCATTGTTAGAGGCAGCTTGGTATAATGTTTAGAGATCTGGCTTTGCCAGGAAGACCTGGTTTCAAATCTTGCCTCTGAGATGTAAGGATTGTACAACTATGTAATATCTCAGTTCTCTAGGCAACTCTAAAACGATAAGCTGCAGAGAAGGTGGTGACCTGCATTGAGAGAGGAAGTCCCCTCATCTGGGAATGCCAACAGCAGTGAAATCACCAGGATAATCCTGGTCCCCATCTCCATCCCCAGGCTACGACTTATTCTGTCACAGGAGGAAAAGCTGGTAGATCGAGGTGCACCCAATGGTAGTTTGGCACTCAGTGAGAAATTCATCAAGTGTGTGTTTGTGTGTGTTTGTGTGTGTGTGTGTGTGTGTGTGTGTGTGTGTGTGTGTGTGTTGGGAGAAGTCACATCTAGATCAGAAAAGCTAGCCACAAACAGTTTCCTGCCTGGGATGAGGAGCTCTGGCGGAAGGGAAAGTCCTCTTGGAACTCGGCATGGTCAAGTGTGTCAAGCAGAGAGCACAGGCATCCCAGCAGGTCAATGCTTTGGCAGCCAGACAAGCCATGGATGGACTTGAGAAGCAGGATGGGAAGGCAGCGGGAGAATGATGGATGGCCAATCAATGACTATCTGGACAGATGGAGGTTTGGGACCAAGCAGGCAGGACAGGAAGGGCAGGCTGATTCTTTGATCCACCCCTCAGTTGACAAAGTGACTAAGGAACAGCCTTAATTCCCCCTCCTCCTAGCCAGGGAAGGGTTAATGCCACCATATAATGCACCTCAGGATGACTGCAGGAGAGCAGAGACAGCTCTGGGTGCAGAGTGAGGAGTCCCGGGTTCAAACCTTGGCTCCACCACTTACTGGCTGTGTGACCTGGACTCTCCCCCTCCCCTTCTCTGGTCCTCAGTTCTCTTGGCTCTATGAGGGGGCTGGATTACTATGGAGAGCCTCCAAGGTACCTTCCAGCTCTAGCTCATCTAGCCCTATAGTCACTGAATTTACACCATCACAGGACACTGCATGCCAGGCAGGCAGTTTCCTGGAGCATTTAGGAAACAGGATGCATCGGCTAGACTGAAAACAAGCTTTAAAAGCCAAGAGACATTGGAGGACATAAAGAAACTTCCACCTTGTATAATACTCGGTCCCCACAGTGGGAGGTGGAATGGGTAGAAGAATCAGGCTTTTCCTAATTCATCGATTATCACAGCTCACATTTGCACAGTGATTTCAGGTTGGCAAAGTCAACACTCAAAGTCATAAATCATCTCCTCTGACCCCCACAACAACCCTGTGAAGCAGGTGCTGTTATTATCATCCCCATTTTACAGATGAAGAAACTGAGGCTCAGAGAGGGTGAGCTGATGATTTTTGCGTATACAGTTGGGAATTTGAACTTCATTCTTCCTGACTCAAAGTTTAGCATTCTCACCATCACAACATGCTGAGCTTTGTCTTAGGGAAATCCATATCTGACTATTCCAGGTCTCAGTTTCCTTCCCTGCGAAAGGAGGACTAACTCGGTGCTCTCTAAGGCCCCTTCTTGCTCTTAAGTCCCTCTGACCACGTGGCTTTCTATAATGGGACCAGCCACTTGTGTTCTCAGTGCAGAGTGTGAGACGACCCGTTCCTGCCCTCAACGTTGAAGGACCAGAGGGGAAATGCCTTCTCTGCTTTTCTTGGCAAAAGGTAGCACCAGGGGCTTGAGGTAAGAGAGCGGGGAAAAGGAAGTGGGATGGTTTGGCTAGTGTTTCCATTAGAGAAATAAGGAAGCCGGATTGTTTGTGCAGGGATTCTAAGAGGTCCATCTGCTGACTGGTTGGATGGGTTTGGGCCCCCCCAAAAATAAACTAAAAGAGGGAGGGGGTTAACATCTGCTCCTTACTTCAAGCACTGTCTACAGCGTAGGTTGGCCAGCTGTGACAGTGTGCTAATGATGATGATGATGATGATGATGATAACAATAATAATGATAATAATAGCAGATCCATTTCCGTAGTGCCTTAGGGTTCACAAAGAACTTTCTCATGAAGTAAGGAAGAAAAGTCTTATGCTGGTTACTAGGTTGTATGACCTTGGTCAAATGCCTTCCCTCTGAGTCTCAGTTTTCTCATTTGTAAAATGAGGTCAAACTTGGCCCCAAAGGTCCCCTGCAGATGGATCTACAAACTCTGTTTTTACAAAGAAGGGAAATTGAGGCTTGGTGGGATTCAGCAACTGGTCGAAGGTTACATATGTAGCAGGCATCAGAGCCCTGTCCTCTGACCCCAAATCTAATGAGCTTTTCCCTATACCCCATTCTCTCTTTTGCTCTGCTCCCCCTCAGATTTAGGGTTAGGTCCCATTCCTGGCAGTGATGGGGAGGGAAGCAGGTTTCCCTTTTTTTTTTTTTAATATATTTCAATACATTTAAATTTAGAGTTCTTGGGGTAGTTTGGGGGCAGGGATGACACATCACTGAGTTCATGAGAATCATGGGACTCCTTGCTCTCTCAGAATCCTAGAAACTCAAAACTGGAAGTGACAGCGGGGAACCGCTAGTCCCCCCAAGACCTGACATGATCAGCAATGTGTAAGCTCCTGGAGGGAAGGAGCTGTTTTATTTTTCATTTCGGAGAGAGGCAGAATGGCTTGGTGGACAATGAGCTGGCCTCTGATTAGGAAGACCTGGATTGAGAGATATTGCTTGAGGGACCAGGAAGAGGCGTCTTAGCTGTCAACGCCCCTGTCACCTCTGTAGGACTAGAAGCCGTGTCACTTTGACCCATCGGCATTGGTTGCTTGAACGAACATATTTCTTTACCAGGTGCTTCCTGTGCCAATGAAACAATATACCTGGAATTTTCCAACCCCACTTAAAACTAAAATAAAATATATCGCACATAGCAGGTGCCTAAAGTTTTTTTTTAATTGAATACATATATTTCCTTTATAATAATCCCAATACTTGGTCCTCTGGCCACTACTTGAAGATTATTGTGATCATCCCCTCCGGGCTGCTATAATCATCTCGGTAGCTGTTTCTGGTCTGGGAGGTGGGGATCACAGGGGAAAAGGCTGGTGATGTGGTTGATTTGACCAGGTCTGCTCCAGTGATGGTGTGGGTGTGGGACAAGGGGCTGGGTGTGGATGGAGGGACCAGGGAGGATGATAAACCCAAGAGGACAGAAATGGCAGCTGGCAGGGGTGGAACTATCCATGGAAGTGTAGTGGGTAGCCATGGTGGAGAGCTGGCAGGACAATAAGAAAACATTTGTGATATATGCTGGTATTCCTGGCAGGGCTCCAGTCCACTCTCTCTTTCTGTCTACACGTTGCCTGTCCCTGGCAGGGGCTGAGGGCACAAGATGAGGCTAGTCCATGCCCCTTAGTCCTACCCTAGGCTCTTTTGGGTGACACTCAGAGATGAAAGACAGCACCACATGTTTTAGTGACCAGCCACCCAACAGGAAGCATCTGAACTGCTGGACAGACGGCAGGGAGGCAGCTGTGATGTATCGGAGAGAGCTCCGGGCTCGGAATCAAGAGACCTGACTCTGCACCCTGGCTCTGCCACCTATGGACTATATGACTTGGGAGCAAGCCACTTAGCATCTCAGAAGCTCAGCTTCTTCATCTTTCAAGTGGGGATAATAACGCTTATGCTCGTGGAATCCAGGGCTGCCATGAGGATCTGATGAGTTACTGTATGCACTATACTTTGTAAACCCAAATGCACTAATATAAATGTAAGCTCTAACTATTATTATTTTCCATTTGAGGTTTTCATCCCATAATATTATAGATCTCAGCCTTTTTTACAGCCGTTCTGAGGACTGAGGGTTGAATTTGGGGTTCTGACATGACTGGATGGTTGGAGTCTATCTTGCTTTGCAGAACAGCTGGTTTCCGAAAAGGTTAGCTGTCAAGACAGTTTCTGTAAAGCGAAGCTTAATTTTCTCCTGGATGGACATCGACCTTGGGCAAAGGGATGGGGAAGGTGGATGTATATATGCTTTTTGACTTCTGCTCTTCTTTCCTGGGGCTGATAACAGCTCCTGGCAGGACCCCCAGGAGATCTAAATATCAGCCATTGGCCTTGAGTGAAAGAATTGGGGGGGAAATTTTTCACATATGGTCCAAGAAGAATTCTACAAATGTGAGTCTTCTGGGAATGTGTCTTGAATCTGTTCCTGAGTTCTGAATTATGTTATGGTAGGTTTCTGCATAGTGGAGACTGCCATATAATGGGAGACATCCATGTGAAGGGACTTCCTAAAAAGTCCTATAGAGGACAGGAGCCTTGTTCCATCCTGCTGATGGGATCTATGACTCCATCCTTCCCCAGACAGAATAGGGTCTAAGTTCACCCACCGCCACACTCAGACGACCTGGATGTCAGGGCCAAGAAGCAAGCATGTGGCAACACAGGCAGGAAGATGCAGGTTTCAACTCACCACTCGTCCCGGGATCCCAAGGGCGCCTTTGTCTCCCTGAGGAGCAAGGCAAAAGAAATCAGATGGAGGTGGATGGGGGCATGGAGTCAGGCTTCAGTTAAGGGAATTAAGTCATACTGGCAGTGTACTGGGCATGAGAACATCATGGCTTCCATGATCAGCCACATATGCCCTGCCTAATGACAAACTGGAACATGGGCACCTTCCTATGTGGGTGCCCTGGGGTACATATACAAAATACCCATGTGTTTAGAATATAAACCACATCATCAGGCAGGCGTAGTGTGATGGACCCCACCAGTAATTAGTGCCTTCCCTAACTTTGTATTTGAATTTAATTTGTATACATATTTAAATATCATACAGCGAGGTCGTGATTAGCGTGGCTAATGGATTCCCTGAAGGGGTAGCATGTGTTCAAATTCAAACTATTTGAAGTTTTCCTTTTAATTGATTCTGGCCCAATAGAAATATTCAGTGTGAATTCGATTAACGCTACCACATCAAGGGGTTCTTTATTCTCACTAATCAGGAACCAACAGTTTAAGTATAAATACTGTATTTATAATAAATACTTATTTACATTGCATATGTATATATAATACTTTACATTTACTTTATCTCCATGTTTTCCTTTTCTTATCTGTGGACATGTCATTTCCTCCCAATAGAACATAAGCTCCTCAAGGGTGGAGCCTATTTCTTTTTTTATATTTGTATCCCCACCACCTAGCACAGTGTTTGGAACATAGTAGATGCTTAATATATCCTTGCTGAATGAATGATGGAAAGAAATTAGGAGTCAGGTGGCCTAGATGCTAGTCTCAGTTCTCCCATTATTGAGCTGTGTGAATTTTTGGCCAGCCATCTTCCCTCTCTGTGCCTCAGTTTCCTCCTCTGTAAAAACAAGGAGGTTGGAATAGCTGATGTGAGGTCCCTTCCAATTCTAGATAGTAACACCAACCACAAAAATAAGCATTCCTGTCCCAATAGCATTTTCTTATTTACAAAGCACTTTCTTTTTAACAACCTTATGAGATAAATAATGCAGATCTAATCCAAAGGAATGGAAGCTCTTTGAGGGGCAGGAGCTATTTGGCTTTTTGTCTCTGTGTCTCCAGTACCCAGCCCAGTGCCCAGCACGTGCTTAGGGAGTATTTGTGGAATTGAATTCAATTGAATATCTGTTTTACAGAGAAGGCAAGTGAAGCTCAGAGGCTTCCAGGGACTCTTTCACGGTCACAGAGAAGGAAGTTATTGAGGCCAGAGCTGGGAACCAGCCAAGTCCAACTGTCCTTCCACTGCCCTGTCTTGCCAGTTGTGCTCATAAAGGCCTTCATCCCACTGACCTAACAGCTGCAGGTGGCATTTGTTGATGAGGTGTGCTGTACCCATTTTACAGAAAAGAAACTCTTCAGCAAGGCAACCAGCCCATTTGACTCCCCTTGGCGAAGATGGGGGACAGAACCCAAGCTTTCTACCTCTGGCTTGGTCTTGCCCCAAGGCCTCATGATTTGAGGAAGATGAATGGAAGTGTACCCATTTTCCCCATCTCCTACACTTAGAAAAGACGAGAAAGTCAGAGCCAAGTCACAAGATTCAGCTATTCTGGGAAAACGACTTCGTTTGGTAGCCAGGGGTAACATCTTCCCACTCTGGAAATCTCCTTTTAGAGGGTTTGCCTCTCCTCTCAGTAAAAAATAATTTTTTGCCATCACACAAATGCAGACCTTGTAAATTCTGGGTGGGGAACTGAAATTCACTGCTGGCCAGGAAGAACGGAAATCAATTGAACATGGAAAACAAGATAGTATCTGACCAAGCGTGTCTGGTGGAGGAATTGCTGGGTTCTATGGCCCAGCTGGAAAATTAGCGAGCTGTGGGCCTGCTCTCAGAGTCTGCTACTTACAGATGTTAGATATGACCTGAAAAGCAGAAGGACCAATGGGGAGAATCGAGAGCATAATGAGATGTCAATGTCAAAATGGCGACAGGGAGTAACTAGGAGCAGCGCACCCACTGGGATCTTGTCTATGTGGTAGTGTCAAGATTCATTATTTGCGTTTACTAAAACACTCTACCTTCTTTAAAGCCAAGAGTGCCCATGAGGAAATGATTTTCCTAAAGGTGTTTGGATAACTCCATGGAGGCGGGGATTGCTTTGTTTTGGTCATTGTATCCCCAGCACCCAGCATGGAGCCTGGTACATAGCAGGCGCTTAATAAGAGCTTGTTGACTAATGAAGTCACCATCAGTCACCATCAGCTAGTCCAGTCCTCCAGATTTTACAAATGGGGAAACCAAGGCCCAGAGAAGGGAAATGTCTAGGCCAATGCCACACAGTGAATTAGTAGCACAACTCAGATCTAGAATCATCTTCTCCTGGTCAGTTTCCTGACTTCTGACTGTAGCTTGCCTACCATTGTGCCAGTCACACAGCATCATTAATAAATGCTGGTTGAATTGACTGAAATTCTCGTAGCAGGGGATCCGGGATCAGTCAGTGGGATTCTGGAATAAGGACTAGATTTAGACTCAGAGATGTTGTCATTGTCTAGTCATTTCAGTCATGTCTTACTTTTTGTGACTGCATTTGAGGTTTTCTTGGCAAAGATACTAGAACGGTTGGCCATTTCCTTCCCTGGATCGTTTTGCAGATAAGGAAACAGAGGTAAACAGGGTTAAGTGACTTGCCCAGGGTCACCCAGCTAGTAAGAGTCTGAGGCCAGATTTGAACTCAGGTCTTCCTGACTCCAGGCCCAGCACTCTATACACTGTGCCACCTAGCTGCCTCAGGGGACCTGGGTTCAAATTCTAGCCCTTCCTGTGTGACTTCAGGAAAGTCAATTAACTTCTGTGGGCCTCAGTTCCTTCATCTACCAAATGAGGAAATTGGACCAGATGACCTTAATATCTCTTCAAGGTTTGAGTCTGTGATCCTAAGATTATCTGAAATCTACCTACAGTGTCTTCTTGGAGGTTCACAAATGATAACCCTTCACAACAGAAGCATAATCAGAGCCACAATCTATGAGTTTGCTAATTGTTCTTCCTTCCTGGATGTGCTCAAAGATGTCTTTTTTGCCATAAGTTTCACACAGTCAAGCTTATGGCTTTTGAATGACATTTCACGGTGTGTGTATATATATATATATATATATATATATATGTATATTATATACACATGTGTGTATTTTAAATTAATGTTATTTGCAGTCTTAGTCATAAAACGCATGGGTTAGGATTAGGTACATACTGGTGCAGAGGTTGGAAACTATGCATGGTAGCCTGTGCTCCATGAATTTTATCCTAAATGTTTTTTAAAGGTGGACTTTGGAGGAAAAAAAAAGAGGCTGCCCCCATGAGTTTTATACATATAACCCCTGCCAACTCTCCTCCTTGTATTTCATGGAGCTGATCCACCAGTCTTTCCAACCTTCCCTGCTAGTTATAATGCTTCTAACATTATAGTGCCAAATATGGTCCCAAATGCCTTTCATTATAAAGGGAAGTGGTTCAGGGTTTTTGTTTTTTTTTTTAAATTTCAACAATTTAATGGCCACTAACTTTTAAAGGACTGCAGTGTTATATTACCTTTGAAAGGTGAGGACTAGGGGTGACAGGAAATAACATAATGCTTGTAAGAATCGGAATCTTTCTGCCTTAGATTTGGGGAGTCTAAAACCAGAGGTATGAGTGGGAATTTTGTGCCTAGGGCAGGAAGAAAGGCTGGTCGGGGTGGAGTTCAGACCCAGGGCCAGGGATGTGGGCACTGAGGAAAGGAAATGCCCCAGGAGGAGGCAGTTCCATAAGTGGGGCCATGGAGAGGAACTCACTTGGGAAGGAGGAAGAAGAGTGACCCAGGACCAGGGCAGGATCAGTGCCTTCTAAATATTGGTGCCCTGAGACAATGCCTTGAACATTCCACCCTAGTTACAGCTCTACCTAAATCTAATACTGCTTTTGAGTTAGTGAAGACGGCTGTCAGCTCTCTGATCTCTGAATGGATTGTAATATGTTTCTTCCCTCAGTCTTCTGCTAGACTGTGGGGTGTATAATGTTGGGTTGGTGCCCCTAATCCTAAAGATTACAGAGTCTGAGGCTTTGGGTTCAAATTCTTACTCTGACATTTGCTCCCTGTGTGACCTTAGGCAAGTCACAAGCTCTTTGAGCCTCAGTCCTCCCTCATGAGAGGATTGGACTAGCTGGCATCCGAGTTCTCCTCCAGCTCCTGTCTATGATCCATTTCCTTGATTTCCCAAACTCATCTTGGTGCTCAAACTCATCCCCTGGGGCTCCCAAGAAAGAGAACAATGGCCTTAGAAGAAGCTTGCCCATCCTTCATTGCGTACCAATTTAAGAGGCAATCTGATAAGCTAAGTGATCAACCCTAGTCTCTAACTTGATCTAGTCACTCACCTCCAGCTGCCCCTTGGACACTTGAACTGGACTCTCCATAGACATCTCAAACTCAGTACATCCCAAACAAAGTTCATGGTCTTTGTCCCCCATTGTCAACCTCTCTATTACTGTCTGGGGCACTGCCATACTCCCACCTCTCCCAGACACTCCACTGTGGTCATCCTCAACTCTTCACTCTCCTCACACATATCCAATCCCTTGTCAAGTCTTGTCTCTGCCTTCTGGACATTCAGTGACGAATTCCTTGGTCATCACAACCCAATAAAATGCAAATTGGTCTCAGCCTTGTGTGGTGAGAGCCCTCTTCTACTTCTGTGTCTATGGTGGTAAAATGGTGGGAAAGGAGGCAGGGGTGCAGAGAGGTGATCACATGTTTTTTAGGACATCTAAGGTACTAACTTAGCTGTTGATTTAGTGTTCAGATCTGGCACTTGGGAAAAACCAATATTGTAACTCAAGTATCTTTTGCTAGCGGGCATCAAAAGAAAGGATAGGGGGAATTAACACCTCCTCCTCCTCTTGAATTCTGGGTCCAGCTCACTGTTCATTAGATTCAATTCAAGGCAACACACATTTACTAAGCACCTACTAAGTGCTAGGAAATGTCACAGGCCCTGCCCTCGAGGAGCTAAAATCTTTTGGAGGAAAATCAACAGGTATGCAGATAAATATACATTAATTATATATATAATATAAATTATATATAAACTATATGGTATTTCTATATTGTTATATAATGTTTCTATATAATATTTAATATATTAGTATATATCATTATATATTAATTACTTAGTAAACAAATACAAAGTTATTACTAGTAGGGGTGGGGAGAGTCCTGATAATTAGGTTGGGGTGGGGGAGTCAGGAAAGATCTGGTGAAGGAGGAAGTAGCTGCACTATGCTTTAAAGGAAGTTGGAGATTCTAAAAGTTGACCATCCTCAGACCATCAGACATATCTCTATGCAATGTACTGGTCAAAGACCAAAATTAAGGCTTGTAGTGATTGAAACCATCTCTGTTGTTCATACTCTTCTGTTTGTATGAAAGCTCAGCAGATGTTACCAAGGGATGTGGGTTAAAGACTGTGGTCATGGATGAAGGCTGTATTTGCTGAGGCCAGGCTGAGAGTAACCTTGGACAAGTCATTTAAATTTCCTAAGCCTCAGTTTCCTTATCTGTAAAATGAGAGGGTTGGGCTATGTCCTTCAGGGTTCCTAGCAGCTGCCAGATGGTCAAAGATGCTCTAGCTCCGGGGGCTAGTATCCACTCAACTTTGGGCCCCAGGCCTCAGCCAAGGGTGTTTTGTCAATGAGAGGGGGATACAAGAAGGACCTTCTTATTTGGACACAGAAGCAGCGATGGTGGGTGGTAAAGGATGTTTCCCCTTAGCCCCCAGGGAGAAGCTGACCAACCAAATAAAGGCGTGGAGTGTGTGTGGAGTAGGGAAAGATTATAAGTGTGATCTAGTAACGGGAGAGAAAGAGATGAGGCAGGAAGATGAAGGAAAAGAGAGAGGCCAAGAAAAGAGAAATAAAACTATTTACCGGAAGTCCAGGTTTTCCTGCCGGACCCTGGAAAAAAAGGGCAAAAAAACAACAAAAGAGAGAAAAAGAGCTCAGTAAAGCTAATGCCAGGGAAGTGGAACACACAATCCTGCATCTCCTAAGGACAGAGGGGACAGTGTGGCATAATGGGAAGTATCCTAGATGAACACCTGGATAGACCTGGGTTCAAGTGCTGGCTCAGACCCTTGTTGGCTGTGCTGTGTTGGACAAATCACGCACCTTCTCTGAACTTTGGTTTCCTTGTTTGTCAAATGGAGTGATTGCGTGGCTTAAGTGAGAAGCCCTGGGAAGGCTGTGCTAATGCCAGTGACTGTTACTAAGCCATGACACGGTCAGTCTTGTTATTCCCTGCGCCCCCACACCTGCCACCCTGGAAGAGGAATTTGAAGAGTGTGAATCATCCTCCCCTTTCTTCCCCCAGACCTGCCCCTCTATAGATGGTGCTGAGATGGTAACCATTATCTTGGGGCACAGATCTTGAGAATAAAGGGACTGTCAAGGACATTGGGTTCAGCACCCTCATTTTACAAAGGAGGGAAACTGAGGCCAAAGTGGGTAAGTGACTAGTCAATTTCACATAGCAAGTGTCAGCATCAAATTTCAAACCTGGGTCTTCTAGGACTCCAATTTCAGTGCTCTTGGGGCCCCCCCGCCGCTACAAGCTCCCTTGCCCTACAATCCTGTCCTTTTCATTCTTATGCTCCCTGGACCCATTTCATTATATCTTATTCCTGCACACAGCCCTGATCGCTTGGGAGGAAACATAGATGATATTTCTAAAAAGTGGCAGCAGGGAGGGGTCTTTGTGGGGCAGACAATGGGGAGCCGAGACTGGCTGCTGTTTCTACCCTCCCTACAGGTCAGGCGTCTGCTGTCTTTCAAGGCCAAAGAGTAAGCTCTGGATCTGAGGCAGTTCTACCCCACCCTGGGACTGATCTCACTAGCCTTAGAGTGAGGGTCACTCAGCCTCCATAGGGGGACTACTCAATATGCCACTCAAGGACTCTCTTGAAAGAGACTTCAGAGGGTAGACAGTAGGAAAAGTACTGGATGTAAGGACTAAAGGTCTGAATTCGAATGTGTGTAATCTTGGGCAAATCCCTTTATCTCCGAATCTTTATTTGTCTTTCTGTAAAATGAGGAGGTTAAACCAGATCATCTTTAAGATCTCTTTGAGCTTTAAATCCAATGATCCCAGCTCATTTGCCCTTCCCATGCAGGAATCCTGTTCATTCTCCTCTTGGACACAGCCCAACAATCTCTGTGTGAGCTCTCCAGTAAATGTAAGCCCTTCCTGACCTTGTACAATCTGTCCCACTGTGGCAGCATGCTGAGTTTCTTCAGAAAGCATCAGGACCTAACGAGTCACGGAAAGCAAGGGCAACAAATTCCCAGGAAGGTGAGATCTGGGTGAGAGATGGTCCAATCTTTGGCTATGTCAGGGGGAAAAAAGAGGATGGAGAGGGGGCCTCCAAAAAGGCTTGTTTTCAGCAGGTGGTCCTTCAGGGCTCCCTTACTGCCAAGTTTATTTTGGAAGACTGATGGTAGGAATTTTATCTGACATCCAAAGCATGCCATTATAAATCATGCCTTTTCATTTCAAGGGATGAAATGACTCTCCAGTCCCGACGTGATTTATCCGTCAGGGGGATAGAACAGATTTCTCAGTATGGGATCAATTTACCACTCAGAGTAACAGATGGAATATTAAATAAGGACCTTATTAAAATCATGAAAGGCTTTCTCCCAGGTATGTATTTAGAGGCAAAACAAGTATCGGAATGCCTTCTCTTGAGCACTAGAGGCCTCTGGCTCTTGTTGGTTTCAATAACCTCAGGGGTGGACCAATTTCAAAGAACGTCATTCTTCCCATCTCGGTAAAAATCGGCCGCACTCCACCACGTGTTCGGTCTTTTCAGTTACTTTACACAGGCCTCCGAATGGTCTTCGGGCCTTTTGTTGGGCTTTAACAACACTGCCCCTCAAGGACAGATCACTACCGTGTTGCTGGGTATCCATTTACTGCTTTGAGAGATTCTTCTTGTGCTCTTTCTTTTGGCAAGACTTGCCCCTCCCCCACAAGGGACCTGACAGAAAGGTCTGAGAAAGAAGAGAGGCGTTCTGCCTCTAATTTATTGCTCCTTCTGTAGCTTAACTTGCCGACATTGCTTTCTCTGTCTCCTTCCCTCCTATCTCTTTCCAAAATACGGCCCAAGCCAGTTGGCCCAAATAGAAGCTGCCCACATAAATTCTCTTGGAAAACAACACTTGCCCAATGAGATTCACATTTTCACTAAGTGAGTGGGCAGAGACGTGTTCCACAGAACAGCCTACTGAGAAGAGATGTCTCCTTTCTTATTGATTAGTGTGCCCTTCCTCCTACAATTGCCTCCTTTGAGGACAAAGAAAGTGTCTTATTACTGAGACAAGCTAGTCTTTTGGATTTCAGTTCAGAGCCTGCTTTGTCAAGGAGAGAGACATCTTGGGCTCTGATGTTTCTGAGTCTGGTAAAAAAAAAAACCAAAACAAAAATGGCAGGCTCTTTCCCTTTCTGTCAGTCAGGCACAGGCTCCAGAAGTCAAAAGAAAAGCAGTCTCTGAATAAGAGGTTATGGGCGACTCCCAGGTCTAAGAGAGGGAGATTAGTTGGAAAGACACACTTCACTTCTCTTTCTCCCCAAGCCCAGGACCCTGTTACCGTCAGAGAAAACAGCACATTCAAGTTTGTGGGATTTCAGCCATCACCTCAGTACTTACAGGGGGTCCTGAAAGAAAAGGAGAAAAAGCACCGGTCAGTGGGGTCTGCTCATGAGATCATAAAAAACCCAGAAGAGTTTTAGAAATCACACCTGCCTTTCACACTTAGGGGAGTGGGAAGATTGCTTGATTCAGCCTCAGAAGACCTGGGTTTGAATCTTGAGTCTGAAAATAAGTAACCATCTGACCACGAACCAGTGACTTCATCTCCTTCACATCAAACACTGTCTTCTTTCTCCAAGCCTCCTACACCATCTCCTTGCTCCTCCTAGAGACCATTTTCTATGAACTTCCTCTCTTCTCTTTCATCAGTTAGTCAATTAGCATTTATCAAGTACAGGCACTGTGCTAAGTGCTAGGGCTACAAAGAAAGGTAAAAGGCATTCCTTGCCCTCAAGCAACTCACAGTCTAATGAGGGAGACAATGAACAAAACACTATGTGTGAACAGGTAATATACAGGCCATCCCTCTACATGTATTCTCAATCCCATTCTCTCTCCTTTAAAAGACCTCTCCCTCAATCATCCCCCATTTAGATGACTCCCAAATATCCCACCCTGGTCTCTTTCCTAAATTCTAATCCCACATCACCAACTGCCCATTGGCTACATCAAACTGGATGTGCTGTGTCTCAACGTCAACATGTCTAAAGCAGAAGTCATTATCTTCCTTTCATTCCCCGCCACGAACTTCTCTATTTCTGTCAAGGGGACCCCTGACCCTCCACTCACCCAGATTCACAAAGTCTCCCTCTTCCTGCCCTTCGTATCTAGGCAGTTACCAAATCTTGCGATTTCTATCTAACTACATTTTCTTTATTCTCTTTTCTCTACTCACATGACCACCATTATAGTTCATGTCCCCATTAGCCTGGACTATTGCAGTAACCTCCTAAAACCCTGCCTCAAACCTCTTCCCACTGTAATCTATCCTCTACCCTACTGCCAAAGAGTTTTTCCTGAATTATAGCTGTGACTTTGTCACTCCCTTACTCAATAAACATCACTGACTCCTTATTGCCTTTAGGACAAATACAAGTATCTCTGTTTAGTTTTTAAAGCCCTTCATAAGTTGTCCCTGGACTGCCTTTCTAACTTTATTTTATATTATTCCTCATCTTAGCCTTCTTGCTGTTCCTTATATATGACACACCATCTCCTGTCCCTGCACTTCTGTATAGGCTGTCCCCCCATACTTGGAATGCACTCCCTTCTCACTTCTACCTCTTAAGAAGCCCTTGTTTACTTCAAAATTCTGCTTTGGCAACACCTTTCCCATTCCCTTCCTCCCTGACCTACCCCTTAAGCTACCGGTGAATTCTCCCTCAGCTCCCTCCCATTTTATCTCATATTTAATATTTCCCATATTGTACATGTTGTCTTTCCCAATAGAGTGTAAGCTTCTTGAGGTCAGGGACAGTTTAACTTCTGTCTTTGTATCCCCAAAACTTAATGCAGTGATACTTAGTAGGTACTTAATAAATGCCTATTGATTGACTATTTGGTTGATATCTGTGAATATTAGAATCTTCATCTGCCACATGGGGATTACAATATTTATCCTGCATGCATAAAGCATGATTATCATCAGTACTGTTAAGAAACTTTCTAAGTAGTCATAGGTTAAGGAAACTCTAAGTAGCCTACATGGTCGTCAATGGGCAGTGAGGTGGGATGGAGATGTCTAACTGACCTGGATTTCAGGAAAAAGGCAAGTCACCTACAAAAAGAAGCTAATCAAACTCAGGGAAACTGATGAGGTCACTGAGAAAGAGAGAAGAGTCAAGAGTTTAGGACAGAGCCTTTGGGTGCCAACAGTGGTCAGTGCTGCAGAGAGATCAGAGAGAATTGAGAGAGGGCCTAAGGATAGTGGTTCCACCATCTGCAATCTGGCTGACCTTGGGCCAATCACTTCCCCTCTTTCTGTATCTCAGTGACATCATCTATAAAATGGGCAGGGGGTGGTGATGAGGGTAGATTATATCATATGATCTCAAAGGTCCCTTCAAGCTCTGACATTCTGGCCTTCCTTCCTTTTTTTCTTTTTAGCACTTTGTTGCTGCTTTTTTCTTTTGTATCACTGTTATTACCCAATACTTCCCTGTCTACCCCAAACAATGATTTCTACTTTGTCCTAAATAAATAGATTTGAGCAAAACATATCAATGTGTTGTCATGTCTGGAAATGTATGTTGAATTTTATACCCATAAACTTCCACCTCTCTGACAAGGGGCATACTGGACCATCTGACCTCTAAAGTCATGCTTAGACATCTTATACTGACATTCTATTTAAAAGTCTCTTCTAGCTTCCAACATTTTATATTCTAAGGTCCCTCTCAGATCGCCGTTCTAGGCCATAGGTTCTAAGGGTATTTCTAGCTCTGACATGATAGGTTCTAAAGGACACTTCCCACTGACACTCTAGGTTCTAAGGTACCTCCCAGCTCTGACATTTGAGGTTCTAAGGCACCTCTGAACTCTGATACTGTATATTCTAAAATTTCTTTCCAGTTCTAACATTCTAGGAGTCTAAATGTTATGAAAATGTTTTAGGAAAGGTTCAAAATACCTAACAACTATAAAAGATGATTCTTTCCCCACAAAATGAAGTCAAACAGGAAAGAACAGGTTCCGTGTCTCATTAGGTCCCTGCTTGATCCCTTCTTTAAGATCCCAGGTCCGTGACCCAGCCTGTCTAAGCATCTCCTCCTCACCATCCATCTCCCAACACCTTTGTGACTCCTCAGGCCATGCCCCTTTTTGCTGTCTCCCTCTCCTCCACTCCCTGCCTGTCTCCATTCTGCGGACCCCGCCTCATGAATGGCATTGGCCATTCATGACAAAGTCTTACATTCTGAAGAGGGAAGAGGGAAGGGGAGAAAAGAGGAAGAGGGGAAAGAAAATCTACATCTCTTCAGAACGTGAGTCAGATGCTCCCAAGGCGTGTTTGAACTCCAGCTGGATCTGCTCAGTCCCTGGGTACCTGGGGTTGCTGGCTCAGCAGCTCTGTGGGCCCCTCCTTTTATGCTCAGCTAATAAAGCGTCCTCATGTTTCCCTCTCACTGCTCACTTTCTTAAAGCTGCCCTTCTGTTCTCCCTTATCTTCCCTTCCCACGTCCTGGCCTGCTTCCATGAAGGAACTGTGGTTTTCATGCCGATCTCTGTCAACCAATCATGTTGAAAAAAATGAGAAGCAATCAGAAGTTAAGGAAGACAGCTGGATGGAGGAGTTTTCAGCTCTGCATGCAATGCTTCTCTTGAAGTATCTAGCTATGATGACCTGGATGTCAAGGTCCAGCGACCACTGGACCTTTCTAGGTCCTGTGACCTCTGGCACAAGAACTAGGAAGAGAACAGGGAAGGGCTCAGAAGATGTTGTCAGAGATGCAGCTGGTTTGGACCTTGGGACCCAGAGAGGATTGCTCAGCTCATGGACATTTTCTATTTTTAAGACCTCAACCAACTTTTAGCTTGACATGCCAGATTTCCCCAGGGTTTATAGAATCACAGATTTTAGAACTAGAACAAAACTTAGGGATGTTCCAATCTAGTCCAACCGTCTCATTTTACAAAGGAGGAAACTGAGACCTAGAACGTAGAAGTGGCTTACCTAAGGTTATAGAGGTATTAAATGACAGAACCAGAATCTGAAAGCATGTCTTACTCCCATGTTTTTCTTATTTTCTTATTTATTTTTTCTTTTCTTCTTTCTTTCTATATTTTTATTATTATACATTAATTTTTATTATTTCTTATTATTTTGCAGTAGCTGGCAACATGCACCTAGCAACCACAAACACTAACTTTGCCAGAGCTGCCCTGCTCTGACAAAGACAGATTTTTTCGCCAAGGTCACTTGTTTCTTCCTTCTATCAACACACTAAGCTCCAAGGGGATGATAATTGTAAGGTGATTTGCACAATTCCTGGAATGTAGTAAGCACTATATAACTGTTATTTAATATTAATAATTATTATAATAATATTAGCTAATAATAATAATAATATTAGCAATTATTATAGTCACAGTAGAGGGTCAAGCTTAGGGACACCGACCCAGAAGCCCAGACCCTGTCTGATTTTATAAAGTGCCTAGAGAGAGACTTATGCCCTCATTAGGATTAACAGGGGCTCATCCCAAAGATTGTGATAAAAAGGGAGAAAACTGTAACTCAATGCATTTGCCTGGCTGTGAAGGGGTCAGTAGAAAGGCAACAGTAAGACAGAAAACACAATGAACTAGGGGCCAGATCTGGATTCTAGGCCCAGCTTTAGTACTAACTCACTGTATGACCTCAGCCAAGTCACTTCTGACACTCAGTTTTCTCATTTATTCAATGATGAGGTTGGACTATAGACACTAGATGGTCTTTAAGGCTCGAGTGATATACTATCTAATGAATGGAGTCCATCTTGGGGCAATCCTATTGAAGACTTTTTATCCCCCCATAGACCTTTTGCCAAATTAAATACTATCATAAGTAGCTAAGCCCCTAGTATCCAGCGCCATGAATATACCACTAGGATTTGGAGATCAGTTGGTCGGTCAATGAACATTTATTAAGCCCCTGTTTTGTGCCAGGCATTGTATTAAGTGCTATAGGATGTTTATACAGAACTCAAGTATTTGTAATAAAACAACTGTCCCCACTACAAACATCACAATGTGCTCACAGGTGGAATGTCAGAGTTAGAAGGTTCCTTAGAAGTCATCTGGTCCAATTTTCCCCACCATTTTATAGGAAACTGAAGGCCAGAGAAAGGAAATGACTTACCTAAGGTCACATAGACAGTAACTGTCAGAACCAGGACTTCACCCTAAGTCTCCTGACTCCTAGTTCATTATACTTTTTCCTGTATCTCCAGGGTCTCCTAGGGTCTCTAGGACAGTGCTTAGCATCATGGATTTACATCTGGAGGAGGCTTTGGACAATCACTAGTCCAAGGGTTCTTAGCTTGGGGTCCATGAGCTTGTTTTAATAATATGCTAATAATTGTATTTCAAT